ATTCTCAGGTCTTTTGCAGGTAGAATTATTTGTATGAATGGTTTGCGATGGTTTAATTGTCAGACAAGTTTTGAAATTGGAAAGGCATCTGGGGGTACTTTTATTGTAGTAGTGCATAGAACATAGCTTGAAGCATTGTGGTGAGGAAAACATGGTGGATTCATTTTGTATCTTCATCTTAGTTACTAGTACGGAATCTGTCAAAAAACTGAGAAGAGCAACTTTAATGACCTTTGCTGAAACAGAACTCATGATGGCAGCTGGAGAATCCAGCAAAACCAATCGACAGAAATTTATAGAGAAACGACGTCAGATGCTCAGGGAGTTTGAGTGTAAAAACCTGCCCAGTGACAATCAAGATAATGCTGTCATCACACACGATGCAGAAAGGAGAGACAGTACCGAAGATTTTCACTTTAATGATGCTCCTTTCAAAGACACTCCTCTGGTCAGTTGTGGTCAAACTTGGGAAAGGACGGTTCACCTCGGTTTGGCCAGTAGTGACCCCGAGAATAGAAGACGAAAAACTCTTGGTAAGTTTCAAACATAAAGTGGTTCTTTACAAGCAACATAACATCAGGCAGGCATCTTCCAAGTACGTGCACCTTGTGTAAAATACCTACTCTAAACTAGCACTTTCATCCATGTTCATCTAGTGAGTGTGAGTGAAATGTCTTTTACTGTCGGGACAAGAATATTTTTCGCTCTGTAATGTAGAAATTGTCCATCAGATTTCTCCTTAGACATCATTTCTTGTCACTACGATGGAAACTCTAGGGAAAACGGAGGAAATTCATGAGAGTGAATTGATTATAAGATCAGTGAGTTGTAAAAGATACAGTTGCTAGATTCTTTCAACCTTTTTGTGACGATATCCCCTTGAAAGGAGTCTGGCAGTATGTATCAACTTGTAGGAACACCCTGTGTTGTGTGTGGGTTCTCTGCATTTAGAGGTTTCCCATTTTGTCATTTATGTTTCATTCCCCTCAAGAAAAGCAACGGCAATCACGAGACATGGAAGGTCAGCTGCCGAGCTTGCAAGAGAAACCGAGAGAAAATGACGAAGAAGAAAAGAATTTACTCGAACGATTGAGAGAGATGGAGCAGCAGTTGGCTCAATTACGAGCACAACTGGAAGAGAAAGAGTCGGAAAAGCAGGAACAAGGTGACAGATTACAGAGACAGTTGCGGGAGATGGAGCAACGGTTGGCAGACGAACACGAACGACTGCAGGAGAAGCATGATCAGCCTGTGAACCCCGAAGCACAAGTGAAACAGATGGAGGAACAGCTGACAAACGCTCAAGGACAGTTACAAGAGAAGCATGATCAGTTAGTGAACTCCAAAGCACAAGTGAAAAAGATGGAGGAACAGCTGACAAACGCTCAAGGAAAGTTACAAGAGAAGCATGATCAGTTAGTGAACTGCGAAGCACAAGTGAAAAAGATGGAGGAACAGCTGACAAACGCTCAAGGACAGCTACAAGAGAAGCAAGATCAGTTAGTTAACTCAGAGACACAAATCCGGGAAGTAGAGGAACAAGTGACAAACTTACGAAGACAGTTACATGAACATTTAGTGAATTCAGAAGTACAAAGTAGAGAGGCGACACAGCAATTGACCGATATCCAAGAGCAACTACAGGGAAAAGATGAAGAAATTGCTGGTTTAAAAAATCAGTTAACTGAACTCGAAATGACTCTCTCGACAGCTCAACAATTAGCGTTAAATGCACGTCAACGGCAGGAGTCACCTGACTGGGTCATTTCACGCGATCAAATTCACGTGACAGATAAATGCCTCGGAAGGGGAGGCTGGGGACATGTTGTGGAAGGAAAGTATTGTGGTTGTGCCGTAGCTGTGAAACAAATCCATGAGTTGATTCTTTCCAATCACAACCGCAGTTTGTTTGTGCGAGAAATGAACATAGCTTCAAGATGTCGTCACCCATGTTTGTTGCAGTTCGTTGGGGCCACAAATGACGAAGGAAGTCCTTTGTTTGTCACAGAGCTGATGGAAACAAGTTTACGAGCACTGTTAAAGCGACCGCTTTCCGCTACTGAATTGTTCGTTATTTCCCTGGATGTGGCTCGAGCATTAAACTATCTTCACCAGAAGCAACCATCTCCCATCATTCACCGGGACATCAGCAGTGCAAATGTGTTGCTATGGCGACAAGGTGACCAATGGAGAGCCAAGGTGTCAGATTATGGCACAGCCAATTTCATGCGACATACCATGACAGTTGCACCTGGAGCACCAATTTACAGTGCACCTGAAGCAGTCACTAAAAACCAAACCGTTAAGGTATGTTTGATTTAATATTTGTTTTTTTTCTCCACAATGACCCTTTGTCAATGGTGTGTATCCTCAAATTTTATTCACTTAACGCAAGGTTGCGGTCATTATCACATCGACATCGACATTATCAATACCACCGAGTTGATTGGCGATATTGTGGTTAATATCATTGACTTTACTGTAAGTTGTTTTCGATATTCAGGTTGATGTATACAGTTTTGGTGTTCTTCTTTGTGAGATGTCGATCCAGGAAATGCCAGATCCTGAAAAGCGTGAACAGCAAGTTGCACTTGTAACAAACCGTGTGATTCGAGCTCTCATCCGGGGATGCTTGCAAACAGAGCCTGAGGAGAGACCGTGTATGGAGGAAATAATCGATGAACTTGAACAGCCAACGTGAGACAATTTTTGATACTATTGGTTGTGTACATTTAAATATAAAGCGTAAAGGTATTTCCTCAGAAATAATTTGTTCGGTAAGTTAGTTAGTAAGTCTTCAGACACGATCGGTATTATTTTATTATGATGATATAGAGAAGTCGTTCATGATAAAATGCAATTATAGATGAGGATAGCTTTTATCAACAATTTGGTACTGTATCAGCAAAATGCGAGAAAAGATAGCTAGATAGATAGTTTGAATCGTTAGAGAAATTTAGAAAGAAGTACTTTTAGTTCGAATTTCTTTAGTCCATGAAACAATTCAAAATAGTGGTCGTCATGATGTGTTTTGTTGAAAAGCCTTAAATTGTGAAAATAGTCCATTTGGATGTGCTCTGCGCCCATTGACATTCCGCATGCCTATACTGGTACGCGCAAGACGTTGATGCGGTCACCAGAGCGCACAGGATAATTGGTCTTAGCACGTTGTGCGAAATGCGGTACACAGGGCGATTTCACATCTGCTGTTTTGAGCTACGAGACGATATGTATAAGGTGAAAAAAGAGAGAGATAATCAGGTTCACCGTGATACGATTTTGTTTTGGTGAACATAGATGAACGGGAGTGCTTGCAGAATAACAGATCAGATAGTAAACTGATTAGCTTATGTTTCGTACAGGAAATCAGGTTTTGAGCTGAGAATAGGTTCAAAATAAGGCTTGTTTGTTACCTTTTTTGCGCCGAATTAGCAATTTTCTACACAGAAGTACCTCTCTTTCGCATTGTGTTACCTGAAAACTGCATATCTCCCAACCAATCAGAATGAAGAAAATTTG